CAGCATTGCCTTGTTTTATGCCGAGGAGTCCAAGCCCAGAGACTAGGGTTTTCTTAGAGATAAACCATTTTGAAGATGACGAGTCGGCGTCTGCAGAAGGAGACCTGTTGTAAGCCTTCAAAAGGTCATCTGACTGAACCAAGGGATCTGCCTCTACCCCTAGCCAAGCTAGTCTTGATGTCTCTCCTACTTGGGTATTTAAAATCCTGTGGAAGATGCAAAACAAAACGAATATCAGCAACTGAGCATTTTCACATGTTCTATTGAAGGCTGGTAAAATGGAACCAAGCAAGTTAGTTTAGTGTAGTCAGATAAAAATCACAGCAAATCTCGGTTTCACAGACAAATATAATGCCATATAGTTGGTGACCAAGAATCGTGTTGCAACTAAAACTTGGCTTCAAACGAAAAAGAAGTACACAACCAAGGGGATCGTGAGAGAAACATCAATAGTTAGAGCCTTGGGGTCGACACTTTAATTTTCTATCACTCCATCTCTTCTATTTTTTTTTATTTCTTTTTTCCCGTTTAGTTGACTGTAAGAGGTTTCTGCGTAGCATGATTCCCCTAATCCCCTTTCATCAGCAGTTGACCGATATCTTGACCCTAAATTATTGAATGAGTCAAACATCATCAGAAAACAAAGCAAATGCAGTATCAATACTATTTAAAGAAATATGAAGCCAATCCAAATGCATGGAAAATATTTAACAAAAATCTCAAGAAGCAAACCTCAAAGCTGTGCTGAAAAACAATGCCACTCCAATGACATCAAAATGATTGACCACTGCTCTATCAATTCCACATAATAGCTGGTATCTCAGGTTCGCATAAAGTCCAAGGAAAGCACCATAACCAAGAGCATAGGTACTCACAGGTGGTACTGTCACAGATAACCTTCCAAACAAGCAAAAGAACATCAAAAGTAATTATAACTACACTGATTTACAGAAAAGAGTCAGTTTAGCCCATTCTTTTTCTTTTTCTATTCTTTATATGTAAAAGGAAAAGCCAAAGCAGAAGCATTGCTTACCTGTCCTTTTTTCTGGCCAAAGTATTTGTCAATGAACCTTGGATTGCCCCAGCAGTTAGTCCAACCAAACATAACTCCGCAGCCTTATAGAAGAATGAATGGACTCTCTTTTGCAAGTCAAACTCTCTAAGAGGGTAACTCATTTCAAAGATATTGTTTGGGAGCTTCTGCAATGTATTTTGCAAATCAAACTGGAATGTGTTTCCATAAGAACGACAAGGAGCGAGCGTCCAAACAACAAAGGCATTGCATGCTGTTATGGTTAGCACATTTATAAGAGCCAAATCCCATTCTTGTTTTATCCTATAATCAGAACAAATAAAATATTTATCTATTCAATACCAATGAGCAGATATTTGAATTTCAAAATAACAGGCAGTAACAAATACCTATCCTTGCGATTTTTCCACTCCCACCAAACAGAGCAACCAATTGTAGCAGCCTGCTCCAAAAGCAGCCTGTATAAAAAGGCAGGGTCTGCAAGCATCCTGCATAACAGAATATCAAATCCTCAAAAATCTAAAAACCTGACAGCGAGCTACCTCGTTGCATAGTCAAAGGGAAATCTGATACATGAAAGGTAATATTGAAAGATATGCACAATTCACACTCAAAGTATTAAACAGTGCAACAAATAGAAAAGCAGGGGGCAAATTATGCAAAATTCATTTGAGCATTGATAGCAAAGATAGAATGTCTATCCACCAATGTTTGACGCTACTTTACAAGGACAAGACTGACACCAGCTTTGCAGCGCATTAAATTTTCAGGAAGTGCTCTCTACACAAAATGAATAGAAAATTGTAGCTGCATGAAGGTTGTAAAGTATGACATCATTTACAAGAAAATATCTCAACTTTGCAATGAATCAATCCATGGCTCCATACCACGTCTCTAATATGTCAGGTAAAGGAATAATTTTTTTAAGATTGACGGAAATGAGTATCTAGCACATTGAATGGCAGAATCTGCTAGCTTAAATTGTGAAACAAACTATCAATAGTTCAGAGAAGCCTGGCCCAGTGACTTAAAGTGTACTACCATTCCCCCATCTTCCCATGGATCAAATGAAGAGGAATAACTTACAGAGTCAAAAATATTGATAAACTAAGTTAAAGTTAACAATAATGAAAACAGGGGCAGGTGAGCACCATATCCAAGTTACCTGCCAATGAATGCCCGAGAGACTGCTTCAGGAAGTGCTCTGGATATAAACCTAGTACTTGTTGGTCTGGCATTTATTGCTAGGAATTTTACCATTTGTGCTGAGCTGACCAAACCCTGGAAGCAATATTACAGTAAATACTTAACCACGGAAACATCATTCAAAAAGAAACTAATAAGAGAAGCACTGCACCATTTCATAAGCTTGTCGGAACCCAGCAGGTAAATCCATCACTGTTTTATGCCACTCATTCAACACTGCATCAACAAATTTTCGGTCGAAAAGCTGCCGGCAGACAAAAATGGAAATTATGGTCAAGTAAAAGCATTTGCACAGAGAATATTTGCATTGTCATAATGATGTGTTAATAAGTCTCTTAGGCAGCATTCTAACCTCTTCAAGAAACATCCTTCTCCTAAATAGTCCCCCCTCGTCACCCTCATCACCATCATCAAAGTCATCAAAGTAATCATCATCATCACCGTCATCATCACCTCCATCACCACCTCCATGATTGATATGCTTTCCAATATCTCCGCCACCTCCCCCAAGTGCTACCTGAAATTATCAAAAATGTTAAGGGCTTTGCCATTGACCCTTCAAACTTAGTGACTGAATACTCTTACGAAGGTATACCCAAAACAGATTTGACAAACACAAGCATAATTACTGAGAGATGAGTGAAGCAATTCAGTGCAGGCAGTTAGCTTAAATGTTTACTGCACGCTGTAGAGAAACAATTGTAAATCCAATATGATAGGTCGTTAAATAAAATCTATGTACAAGTACAGGTTTTTCATTGTACTCGGGCATGATGAGCAAACCATGCTCAATCTGAATTTTCAAACATTTGCTCTTAGTTCAAATTGAAAATCAGTAAGATTTCTACTATGTTTAGAGCCATTACAGGCACTTCACTGTTCAAAGCAAAAGCAAAACAGTCATTCAAGGAGGGAAAACTCATGGAAATAAAATTACTTAGTGTCATATCAAGTTTCTGTTGCACTGAGGTTTGTCAAGTTTCATTGAGTGAAGGGGATTACGAGTGATTGTTTCGTTGACCATATTAACAGTAAATGTTCTAATGTTAGCTTTCCAGAAATAAGGACCTGATGCTGCTCTGGGCTGATCAAGCATCATGTATGCAATTGAGTGGGAAGAACATGTCTTTGCAATGGTCCATCACTTTCGTCGAAACTCTAATCTATGATTTCGCTTCTTTTTGTACTTCTTATCCTCCCTTTCTCCCCTGTACGATTTACAATGATATAGCACTAAATCAATAATCTACGACACACTTCACTATATCCTGTTAGCACCCTGTCCTTCTGGAACAAAGTCAGCCTCAATAATCAATGTGAGCTAAAGACAATCCTCAAAGAGAAACAGCCTAGGTTATAATCTGAAAACTAAAGAGAGGAAAAAAAACCAAAAACACATCCCAAACCACCAAATTGGTTATGCTTAATTCAGAAGAAATTTATGTATTTAAATCAGAAAGCAAGTGAAAAAAGAAGAAAACCTCAGGGGTAGACTGGGATTGCTTCTGGGTCAAATCAAGTTTGCTTTTTTCCAAAGTAACGGCACCTAAAGAACCGAATTTTCCTTTCATAACCGGACCGAAGTCACCCTTTGGAGAGGAATTCAAGACGGGGGCAGACGGGGCTAAAAAGCAGCGCTCCAACCAGGCTACAGAATCTCCGCCACCATCAATTGTCGGACAAGAAGAGGAGGAGGAAGAAGAAGAGCACTTAATGGTGTGATTATGATTAACCCACTTCCTAGTACCGCGCAGGTGACACAATTGAGGAATCGGAGAGGTGGGTTTTAAAGTTAAGGTGGTCTTGGTGGTTGTGGTAGGGATTTGTGTTGTTTGGAACACAAAATGAGACATCTTTAAGCTTCTTTGGAGGACAAAAGACAACTTTTTTAGGGTTTTGTTTATTTAGTACGAGGAGGAAGAAGGGTTCTGTCTCATTTCTTTGTAGACTAAGACAAAGGAAACCAGAGGAGGGGGCGTGAGTTTCTCTCTCTGGAAACTAGGTGGTTTTCGAGAGAGAGGAAAAAAGAGGGAGAGAGGAGGAAGGATGGGTGGGGTTTTTGATGGATGGATGGATGGGATGGATGGGATTGGGTTGGATTGGACTCATCCCGAGCGAGTGAGTTGATTTCCGAGTTTCAAGTTTGAGAGTCATGAGAAGTCATCCAATTATATAGGTAGTCTCGATTAACTCCTCGAACTATATTTTTATCTCCAATCGATCCCTATAATTTTAATTATTCTCAATTCCAGTCTCTCCATCTATTCGTGCATGGGTTTGGTTCATACGGTATGTTTTTCATAAGAAACAAAGTCTTTTTAGCAAATTTAAGGTTTATTTTTAAAAGAGTTTAGATAGAGAGTTAATTGAGGAACTTTTCTGTTTAATTGAACTGAGATGCTTTTTATCCTTATAATTCTAAACAATGGTAACTATCTTCCATGTAGATGATAATTAATGGTTAAACCCGTTAATTTTTATATTTTAAAAATATTTTTTTATTTAAATTAATATTTTTAAATTCTTTTAATATATTATTATCAAAAATAATTTAAAAAAAAAAATCAACACGACATTAACGCGTTGCGTTTTCTGGTTTTTAAAGAAAAAACAACACCTTCCTCTAAAAACAAGCTCGTAAGGATCCATTACAAAGACGATATCAGATATGGTGCGATGCGGCAAGGTTCGATATGGTGCGATGCAATTGAAATGCCGTTTCGACTTAACCATAGTTATGATTAATCAATAGATATCATAATTTTGCAATGCCAAACACAAATGAATAAGAAAGGCTAGTGTTGCAATTATTGCGCGTATGTTTACAATGTTGATCACAGTTTGAGCTCCTCTTTTTTACCTTGACATTATATATATATATATATATATATCTATGGACAGATTTACATCACTGATAACGTAAACTGAATTTAACTATGGATATATATTCTATGACACTAGCTTCTATATTGCATCTTTTGCTTCTGCACAACTACGCAATCAAAAAGGAAATTGTACATGTTACACTTGCCTGATGCAGGGAATCTTTCTTGTTCATGTCTGTACCAATGCTGCTTACTCTCTGTTGATTGTTCACAGTCTGAGGATCTTCCCCTTTGGGGATGGCTTTAACTTCCTATATTTCTTGGGATAACACAAATCCTAGAAGTGGGGATGAGAGGCCTGCCACCTTTATGGCTTTGACCTGCATTCCATCCTTTTAGCTCATTTGCATTTTTGTCTATTGCCTGAAGAGAAAGAAAACTTGTAAACTTTCCACTGGAATTTCTACCATCCTCGCCAGAGAAAAAATTGGGAATCGATAGACACCAACTGAGCCTTGGAAATTATCTTGAGTTGCATGATGACAAGAGTATTGTTTGTGAGGCCAACAAAGAAGATTAAAAATGAAGAGCCCGGAGAAGCCCAATAGCCAGATCTTCCTGTAGAAAGGATCTACTGCTAGAGCTGCAAAAAGCATGCACCTTGCTTAGAATAATACTAAGAGTTGTGCAAAAGTATATAAACACATCGAAATTATCAGCAATGCCCTAAATCACATAAAAATATTTTCCCTTTCTTCATGAGATTAAAATATTTTCCTCCAAATAACTACTATTAAAAGGTTGATTGGAAAATGTTGTCCAATTGAATAATTTTCAAGTGTTTGTTTTGCACTGGAAAGGGAGGAAAACATTTTCCACAAAACACAAACATCGTAACTGTACGGTCCCTCCAGGCTTGATATATATTACAAGCATTTGTTTTAGGGGAGGCACCTTTTTAATCCTTTGCGTTGTCAGTATCATGTTACCTAGAATTCTCAAATGATCCTGAGCAAGCTTGCATTGTTCCACATGAAAAATAAAACAGGAACGGTCTTTCATGATATGTTAGGCACGCCAGCATCCATCATAATAATAAGAACAACAAACAAGCACTAACGAGCATAGAGGACAAGTTTGTTCCAATGAAAAGAATGGGATGAGCAGCTAGATAGCTGATGAACACTTGATCATAGGGAATTTGATGTTATAATAAAATATTTGATGATGTGAATCTCATGCCTAAAATGCAGAAGGTAATCAACTTGGAAGGTACAAACTATTTTCACTGGTAAGATCTTATTTCCGAACCACCAAATAAAAAAATAAAAATTTGAGTGATAAAGAAATGGCATAACCAATAGTAAAAATATGCAAATTACCTGCTTGTTAACTATATCATGATAAGCAGAAACAGGAAGTGTCTTATTAACTTGACAGTGATGACTTACATATGGCGTTGGAGCCAATGTGGATGGTGCAAGTGACAATAATGGACCTTTCCCTGGACCAGAACCATAGTATACTCCAGGTAAAGGAGACACATCTGGAGGCTCTGGATGTAAACGAGGAGTTTGGTTAGAACCAGATGGAGAGTTGCTTGGTGGAGTTGCAGAACCATGTTGTGGACAGGGCTGAGGAGGGAGAGCAGGTATCACAGAAGGTGCAGGGGAATTTATGGGAGCGAATGGAGCAATTGCTGGAGGGAGAGATGGAGAAATTGCTGGTGAAGGAGTAGGAGGAGTTCCATGAAGCGTATCCTTTAAATATGATGACAAAACAACACTCTTTACTTTGCCGAAGACCGAGTTGTTGAGGCCAAGATTTTTTACAGGAGAAGCTGTGATTATTTGAGCCAACTGCTTCAACCTCTGTTGCTGAAGGGTCCCCAGATACATGACTGAAACCTGAACTGTGACTGGGGGAGTTATTGTGGAACCATCCTCATTTGTTATTTTCACATACACAGTCTGAACAACAAGAAACAAAAGAGTGGGAGTCAAACAGCAGGCATAATTTTCAACTTTCTTAAGGACATTGTTAGCTTGTCAGTGTCTGCTAGCACTTACACAGTATACATTAAGGCTGCAAATTCAATTCAATTCTGTGACAGTACATCACAAAACCACTCAACAACTGCAACATATGTGAACCTTGTACTCTTCAAAGAATTATAGGACCTAATTTGAGCCAACCAACAATACATGGCTACTTTATATTTATGCAAAGTTTCTATTTCCAAAATTTTCCATACTTTTGAAGGGTTCTACTTCCCCAATCAAATGATTTACCTTCAGTTTTCCATATTATTGAATTGAAATATTGCTGTATCTAGCAAATCGTAACATTGGACACTATAAGAATCAAAGCTAGAACCATGGCATGGATTAAAATAAACACGGCAACTGACACCAAAAAGTGAGATATACCAATAAGTTTTTTGAAAATGTTATACCTCAAATTGCCTTAGGTGCAACCCAAATTCCAACTGATCTTTTAATTCTCCAAAATTGTCCAGAACTTCAGATACGGAATTGTTAAGAGTGAAATTAAAGAGAGTCTGGGGCATCTGCCAGATTGAAGCATATTGCATCGGTACTATAGTGATTCCCCCAGGAAACCTAAAAATTTCAAATGTAGATGGTTGCCCAAAAATCAATGTAGTCACAGTCAAATTGGATTGCTCAAGGAACAGATCAATCAGTGACGACCTCAGCACACTGAAGGACACCATGTTTATTGGGACATTTACCGGATCAGGAATAAAACCAAACACCACATCAGTCCAATTAGAAGCTAATCGGTGCATGGATAGAATAGCCACCTGTTGACAACAAATTAGTTTTAGCATCAATTTTCAAGGTGACATTATTTAGGATGCAAATATGACAGAACAGCAGAAGATTGAAGTACAACCTTTGCATTTGGGATGCCTATTTCTTCATTGATATCATATTCTAATCTTGCAATGTGTGTAACAACCTGCACCACTGGCTTTGGAAGTCTGAAGTATGCTTGTACTGTAGCTGTAAATAAGAATTAAATGACATAAACAGCATGGCCAAAACAGTCTAAGTTACTTGATAAAAATAAATTCATTTAGATGCAAGTATAACAGAAATACAGCAATAAGCAAACACAAAATCTTTGCATTTTAACAAGAAAATAAACCGGAAATTTATGGCCTTAGTTCATTTCAAAGTATCTTTCTTTTCTCTGATTTTTTAAATACATTGTTCAAAAGAATTTGTTCTAGAATAGAAAGTAGAAAACAAGGTAAATCGCAGTGAAGCCAAAAATTGGATCAAAGTTAGCATACTTTAAGGCAATATAAAGCAATGGACAAGATAGAATCACTAGGTCGGCCAGTATAACATCCTAAAACATATCGCAATCACCATTTTCATTGAAGACTAAACAGCAGGCTTGTTTTCAATCTCTCAATACAGAGTCTGGTGAAACATGAGCCATGCAAAGGGAAAGCAATCAGAAATGTAAAACAATAAAAACGTTTCCAAGCTTCATATAGAATCAGATCTTTTACATTCAAGTGAAATATATATAAGTTGTTAACTCCAATGAAAACCATTAGATCTCCCAATATCAGTCAACATCTATCTTGAGCTTAGGTGGCAAATGATCCAAGATAAAAAATTAAAAAAAAAAAAAGAAGCCAGCAATGCACATAAGATAAGTGAATCTCCACCATCTGAATCAAAAGCTTTGATTTTTATTTTTATTTTCTCAAACCACAGCCACTATAAAGGTACAATACAAGGGATATCCCAATAGAAAAATGCAATAACACATACAACATAAGCTACAGAAAAACAAAACGGTAGCACATGTGTATATGTCTTAGGCAGTAGTTGCAAAAGCCTTCAGCAAGCAAGATTCATCAGCCACTTGCAGAAGAATGAAACATTGCAACAAGTTCCTGATACTAAATCTGCAAGCAGATAGCAAATTCATAGATATAAGAAGTGAAAGTTCCCTTTTATCATAATAGCATGATCCATGTCTTGTATCTCACAATGTGTTGGACGCAACAAATTGCTGAACACTGTAAAATTGGTATACGAGAAAAATCCAAAAACTTATCCTAGCACCCACTTATAAATGATGCAAGATAAGAACAGAGCCGTTCAAATTGCATATAAATTGAATTTAATTAAACAAGTGAACAACCTCTTTAAGAAGAGGAAGGTTTCAAACACAAAAACACATCACAAACACACAAGCACAAGGCTAAAAACATAACCTCATCTATATATATGCTTAAAAACATAAATAAATAAATAAAAGATAACCAAGTGAAATATCCATCTACCAAAGTAGCTTCTAACAAGGTAAACTTCACAACTAGAGCCAGAATGTAAGAGAAGAAACACACCCATCAACTGAAAACCTCTATTACATAACAAGAAAGGAAAATAACGAAAACCCACTTGCCCAAATCATTACAAAAGAAACCCTAATGAAACAAACATAAAAAAAGAAAAAGTAATATATAATTACCACTGCGTTTAACTTCATCTTTAGCATCGAACCCGCTAACTGAATGTAGAGAAGAATGCAAAGGAAAGATCCAAAAGAGAGCAGAGACCAAAAGGCACAAACTCAACATCAAAATGAAAACACATTTAAAACTGATTCTTGAAAGTCCCATCGAACATCTCTCACAAAGGAACAATCTTCCGGTTCTCCTCTCATCATCATCATCATGCCTCTGCTGCCTATCCTGATTATAAGAAGAATCTCCTTTCCCCATTGCAGAAATTGCATCTGTCACTCGTTTTTCTCTCCCTAAAAACCCACTTGGTTTCCCTGGACAAAAGTGGAGTTGGGGGACTGGTAGGGGAGATGGGAGAATATACTTAAAGACAAGTGTCGATGCCCTCTCCCTCTCTTTATATTCCATTAATTAAATGATTAAACTCACGAAACCCCTGTCAACTTCGCTTTTCTCGTCTTTTTCCTATTTGTCTTTCACTAATCATCTTGCTCCTACGCTACTTCCCCTTTTTTTTTTTTTTGAACAATGCCGGAAACAAGCATCGACGTGGAGATATGCTTGTTGCGCAAGTTGAGCGTCGACACGGGTAAAATTTAGATTGATAAAAAAAAAATTGAAATGATAATTAAAAAAAACTCTAAAAAACAATTAAATTAACGGTTAGGAGCTGAGTTCTTAACTTATATCAGCTGAATTTTTTTTATTATATTTTTTTATACTTATACCGGTTGAGGTTGTGGTCAGTCTATATAAATATTTTAATTTCTGAACATAAAGATTTAATTTTTAATTGGGTCTATTTTAATGTATTAGTTTCTAGTCAATTATTTTTAATTACAAGGCCAAATTGACCTAACAACATTTATTTTACTGTCTATTTTCAAATGGTGTGTGTTTTCTGAAGTCTTTATATTTCTTTGGATCATTTTTAGAAATTCACAAAGAATTTATAATACATCTTCATTTTGCACTTAGAACATCCATATTTATATTCTCTATATTTTAGCTGAATTTGAGCTAAAAAAAATATCATTACATTCAGGCTCTCTAAAAGAAAAGAATTATTAATATTTAAACTCAATTAAACTCTCATTTTCATTCACCATTTCTTACACACTTCCTCCATCCCAACCAAAGTTGTTAAAAACACTTTTTTAACATGTCACAAAATATATAATATGACCTTGAATTATAAAATTATAAGTAAAATATTTTAATTAATTATATATTAATAATTTCAATCAAATAGTAATTAATAATATAATAAAATTAAAATAAAATAAACAATAGAAAAGTTTAAATACCTTTATTCTATTTACATTGATTCCTTTATTTCTTGAACAAATTGACCCGCTTACTTCATCATTTACAATAAACAAGTCCCTTCAAATTTTGATAAATCATTTAACATTAATTACTCCAAGGGTCAAGCATGCGAATTTACAACTTTTATTCTATATATTTGTCAGTTAAAACAAAGTAATACATCAATTGATATATTAATAGTTTACATAAAAAATTATGAAGAATGAATAAGTATTTTAATTTTACAGAAATGAAATCTACAAATAACTTGTATCATTAAAAAAAATTATAATAATTATAGTCAAAATCAAGCCCTTGATTATCAAATTGCACAAGTTTTGCAAGATATAAATTTAAAACAATAAAAATGTTAATTTATATATTACCATAATACACAATTTTATATTTTTTTTAAACTTATAAAATTAGTTTGATCTTACTAATTTTACTAAGTTTGAACGAGTTTGATCAATTTTATTATTTTTTGAGTTTTAATCCGATTTGACATATTAGATATATATTGACTCGTATAACATTTTAAGAGTGAATTCGTTATTTTTTTACAACATTGATCCCAACAACTTTTTTTTATTTCTTTTTTTTTTGTTCCATCTTTATGGCTTCTAAAAATTTCTTACTCCAAATGCTTTTTCATGGTGATGGCTTTTATGATGATTTTGAATTATTTGCAGTAGCAACAATTGAAGAAGAAGAGAAATAAGTTAGTGAAGGATGACCATCATGCCGATGTGACCTTTTATTTTTCGGCATTATTTGAAAATACAGTACAAATTATGTTCCATAAAAATTTAATTTTTTATTAAAAATTAGTATTATTTGAAAATACAATACAAATTATGTTCCATAAAAATTTATTTTTTTATATATGTTTTGGATTATTTTGATGCGTTAATCTTAAAAATAATTTTAAAAAAATAAAAAAATCATTTTAACATATTTTGACATGAAAAGTAATTTGAAAATCAACCGTAACTATACTCCCAAACAGTATTTTCACGAGACTTGAAGGTTACAGCACTATTTAGCTGAAACCCTTTTATATTCTTCGCATTTTTTTCTAGGGAGATTTTATATGAGTCATTCATTTTTTTTCTTTCATATTAAATCTACAAAAAGAGCATACGGTCCATACTTTATTTAAAGAAGGGATTCTTGTGAATTGGGTCTGTTTGGAAGTGTGGTTATGGTTGTTTTTTTAAATACTTTTGTGCTAAAATACATCAAAATGGTTTTTTTATTTTTTAATTATTTTTTAAATCAGCACATCAAACCGATCCAAAACATATAAAAAATTAATTTTTAGTAAAAAAATTTAAATTTTTTAGAAATACAATTTATACCGTATCCCCAAATATTCTTTAGAATATCTGCAAATTTTATAAATATATCTATATATCATAGAAAGTACCTTAATAAAAAATTATACCATATTCCAAATATTCTTTAGAATATCTATAAATTTTATGAATATATCTATATATCACAGAAAATATCTTAATAAAAAATCTTAAATATTTTATGAAGTAATTGTTAGCATTCAAGAAGGAGTGCTCAAAGGTCGCCATCAAACAGAAATGATATAGTTAGATTGTTGTCAATTGGTGAACAATATAGCTTTTTTAGGATCTTGGGAAGCGTTGATTGTATGCATATAATAAAAATAAAAAACTTATCCAACTATATGGTATATTGTATGTGTTCAAGTCATGTCCATGTACCAACAATTATTCTAGAAGTTTGAGACATGTTTTGTAAACTCTTGCTTAAAATAAAAATTTAATAAACCGATAATAGAATAAATGAAGCAACGATAATTATTTTAGAAATAGAGTCTAAAAATTTAAAATTTTTAGATGTGATTTATTTTTAAAAATGTAAACAAAAAATGATAACTGGTTAAACAAAAAAAACACTCAAATTTAAAAGAAAAGGGCAGAATTGTGAATTATAGTATATGGATGATATAAATACACTCTTGGATGGCTAGCCATTAGGAGAAGGTGAAGGAGAAGGTGGGAGGTGTTTGCCAAATTTCCTCAATTATTCTTTAAAAATCCCAAGTAAACACTTGAAATTAATAAAAGATCAGGAGGGGTCTAGTCGGAGATTCAGCTACGAAAGTAAAGGAAAAACTATGGAAATGGTTGCCCGAGAGGGGACGGTTTGGAGAAGAAAATGAAGGGGGAGAGAGAGGAAGGAAAAAAACTTGTTTTTTAGTCATTTTCTTTCTAAAAAAATTATGGTTTAGAGGTGAGAAAACCTAATTAAAGCTTAATTTAAAGTTTTAACATGGATTTAGTGGATTGTGTATTGCTTTGCATTATGAAAAAAATGAAATAGAGGAATTGATTTTTTTAATGAATTGTTTAATGCTTAAAACATGTTTATTAGAGTAAATAAACAATTAGTAAAGTATTAATTTAAGGCAAAATTTACCTTAGAAAACATGAAAGGTATAAAGGATGGATATAGATAAAATTAAGTCAATTGTTGCTTTTATATATATATATATATATGTATATATAAGGGTGTGTGGTCGGCCAAAGAAACAAGAAGATGGGGGGTAACAGTGTAGAGAAATCCTTAGTAAACTTGGAAAAAACTAAGAAAAAAGTGGAGAACTGAGAGAAACTCTTAAGTATTAGAAAGAATCAAGTGTTTTAAATACCAAATTAAGAGGAAAATAAGTGAGAGGAGGTGAGGAAAGAAGAGAAAGCCTTGACGAAAGGTGGAATGAAGAAGGAGAAGCTTTGAAATTAATCTACATCACATCTAAAGCTCAAATAATTGCCTGGAAAGATATTATTTATTGATTTTAACAAGTTTTATAGAGTTTTAGTTGGAAATTTCAAGTTTTAAGTTAGATTTTATTGTTAAGAATTGGGGTTTAAAAGGATTAATTAGAATTGATAAACTTTGGATTATATTTGATTAAGAAACTTTTGTAATTATTATGATTAGATTGTATTTAATTAAACTGCGTATGAATTTCATAGTTGAAAGAAGTTGGCATATAAAAAATGATGAAAAGGAAAAATAAAAATATTTTGGAATATAAAAAATCTCGAGAGCTTAGTAAAATAATAAAATAATTGACATGATTTTAGCAATGATTGAATAAGAAAAATCGAATTTTAACATAAAATCACTTAATGATCAATTTTATGCTATCAAGCATAACTCTTATTGGACTAAAATTTTATGAGGAACCTCTTAAAACATTGCTATATCTTGGGTTAAAGTTTTAGGATAATCTAAGTTTGGAAAGGTCATGCAAGAATATCAATAGTTGAACCAAAAATAATATATAGACTTATTAATGATATTTTCATAAATAAGTTAGAAAAACTCAAAATTCAGCTTCTTCTTTCCCTTTTAACTGCTAGCGAGTGTTGAAAAAAATTAAAAGAAAAAAAAAACTCAAGAGCTTCCTCATGAAAACCCTAGAGAGAAACTAAGATTTAAGATAAGATAAATAAAAAAGTGAGTATTGAACATATTTAACTCAAGAATTAATGGAGATATCAAGTGAAAAAAAGAGAGAAAACTCATGACATTAAGAGGAAAAAAAAAAGGAATAGAAAACTTCGATTGGTTAACATTCAAAGTTCATATCATAATTGGATAAGACATTATAAACTTGATTGTATAAGTCTAAGTAAATATTGATCAAATTTATGTGAAATTCTTAAATTTTAAATTAAGGTTTTTAAATATTAAATTGGGGAAAAGTAAAATTGTTAAAATGTGATGTTCTTGAAATTAAATATGATGTAAATAAATCTAATAAACACATAATTAAAGAAGAAAAATTAGGTGCTTATAGTTAAAGTAAAGCTAGCCATTTAATTAGGGGTGGGGGTAGGGGCATGAGAACTTTTAGAACCAAAATAAATGTTTGTTAGTTAGGTGTATTTAGTACGTGGAACATATGTTGATTAGGATTGAAATTAATTTAATAATATTATTTAATTTTAGTTGAATTTTCAATATAACTTGGAAAAAGACCATGAGAAATTGATGAAATAAATAATTTGAAGTATTGGTAATCTAAAATGGGTTACTCGATTTATTAGCATTTATAAGAAAATTGCTAAATTATTGATAATTAAAAAAGATTGTTGGATTTGTTGACATCTATGAGAGGATAGCCAAATTGTCAAATTTAT